AATACATGTGCCCAATTTTAAATTATTACTTTCTAATTTTTAAATTATTTAATTAAATTAAAAATATTTTTTGACGTTTAACACCCTGTATCTTTTTAACGAAGCGTCCTAGATAAAAACTGTATAGAAAAGACTCCCCTTAAAATTCGCCAAAGAATACGAGGTTTCATTTTTGGTCACCATTCGTGAATCATCCTGTATAGCAAACGGTTAGATGATCAGATCGATTTTTTTATTTCTGTGAATTTGGGAAGCGTTAAAAACAAGTAATTATGATCTTGTAAAAAATTTATTTAGAAAAAAAAATATGTCTAGCAATCTTTTCGTAGAGTGAAATGCAACCGAGATATTGAAGAAAAACAAAAAAAGCTTTTGTCAATAACAAATTTTCCTCACTTTATCGCGCTTGTGCAGTTTTCGAAAAAATCTTGTTTGATACACAGTTGCCAAATCGACTGGTTTTTTATTCGCTGATGCTCGCAGAAAATTCTATTCTATTCAAATTCTACAGTAGAAAAACTAGAATTCGCAATTGCGTTACATAAAACTGATAGTTTTTGAAAAATGTTGCACAACTAGAAAGTGACTCACACTTAGTTTTTGTACGTAATAACTAGCACTTTCGTGATGCTCCTGAAAATATTCATACGACAATTATTTGGCCATAAACCACAGGCTTTTGATTGTGTCATCTCGTAGGCAATCATTATACTACATATAACCCAAAGACAGGAAATTCAACCGGAACAGATATAATATGATGATTTATGAATACATTTGATTAGTCTGTATTGTGAGAGGGTTCGGGGAACAAAAGGTTTTGTTTTGCAAACAATATCGGAAGGTATGTGCTTTATTATTTGTGTGTAACACTTGACGGCTCAAATGAAAGTTCAAAATTCGCTCATTACGCAACGGTGAACGATGATATGGCCATTTATTGGTTTGTATCGGTCGTAACTCGTTTTAATGAAATGTGAAATAGTTTTCTACAAAATGTGTAATGTTATCCATGCTATGCAAACACGAGGATTGTAATACTTACTAACTGCAATGTATATTTCAGTCGGGTTTTCAGTAATATGTTTACATTAATGAGGAATGCAGTATAGTCAACTGTGGTTTCAAGTCGGTGACATCGTTTTACAAATAGTGGCTGGTGTATCAACCAAATAGTAAAATCTATGTGAAAAGTAGTAGAATTACTTTGGCACAATCTAAGACAACCCCAATCCTATGCCTATGATTTATAATAAATTATTTTTTTCGAAAACTCATCTAAAATCGATATTTTTTATAATTTTCAGTGGACAAAGTGAGTCTTTTTTGTCACCTAGCTGCAAAATACTTTTATGTTCTAGAACAGGGGTCGGCAAGTAATTTTAGGTGGGGTCCGGATACTTTTGAAAATGTTTAACGAGGTCCAGAAAAAAATTCATATTTCTTATTTTTTTGTTTTAATTTGGACTCAAATTTAATCTGCTTACTAACCATTAATAACTCACACACACACAATTGTAAAGTACTAGCAAAAATGATAAGATTGGCACTTAAACGTAAAAAACATTTTTTAAATAATTTATTTGAGTAATTTATATTTTCAAAAAATTTTTGGCGGTCCAGTATTTTACCTTCCGCGGTCCGGATCTGGACCGCGGTCCGCCAGTTGCCGACCCTTGTTCTAGAACGTCAAAGTCTTTTTTCGTTCTAGAATATAAAACCAATGTCAAAATAATTTGTGATTTTTTCGAAATTATTTATGATTTTATTAATTAAACAATATACATTTCAATATAACATTTTAATAGAAAACAGTAACTATTATAAACAGGGCGATTACAATTTATTTTGCACTACATGTAAATTGAAAGTGCCGATATTGCAATGAGTTAAATTTATGCCAGATCCAGTGCTGTCAGTTATCGTAGCTTTTAGTTCTGGGTGTTCAATGAGGCTGAGGTTCAATGAGGTTTAAGTTCATCCAACTGATTTGCCTTTCAATTACGGTATTAGTTTTGGAAATTTTCTGATATTTACATTTTTTTTTTTTTTGGTATTCAGTAATATGGAATATACTAGCCATAACGTCGAAGGTTTAATTTTATTTTTTTTGTGTTCGAAATATGCCAGCAATACCGCTTCGAACACTTTTTGAATTTTCTTCGAACTACACCACACTTTGAATTCGTTGTAGGCAATCTCGTACTGTCTCGACGATTTTTTGAGAATTAATTGTGAAACAGCATTTTGTACCGCTTACAATACTCCCCCTTGTAAATGCTCGTTTCCACTTTCCGAGCTGATTTTGAATTAAACATTTAGAATATGAATTACAATATACGGGGTGTCCCAGAATAACGTATACAACGGAGGACCACAGATTCGTGGACTCAAAATAGGCAGATTTAGGCTAATTCACCTATATCCGAAATCGCTTCGTTTGGCCGCTCAAAGTTCGTGAAAATTTTTTGAATTTTGTAAATAACTCGAATACGTATCAATCGATTTTGATTATTTTTGGGGTGTGGACTTTTGCTTTCAATCTACACATTTTGGTGTTATAGCGAGTGTTTTTTAAATACTGCAACTCCTACAAAATTGATGTATGGTGGTAATATCCGTTCTTATCCTTATCCTTTCGGGCAATAATGACAACTATTTTTTATCTGATAGGCGATACGATTTGGAAATTTTTGGGCCTCTTGTAGAATTTTGATCAAATGAGCGGTTTGGATACAAAAAAGTATTTTTTAAATATCTACATTAGCGTGCCACCCATATTATAATAGCTAACAAAGTGTTAGTAAGCCTACTGTTTTTGTAGGTTGACTGTAATTTCAGTCTGATCTTAAACTCATTATACCTGACTTTTCTTAGTGAGTGTTTACGATGATGAGATATACCACCTGTTACTGTATTTTTCGATATGGATACACACGACGAATTAAAATTATTTACAACGTGCCTAATGTTATTCAAAAAATAGAAAAAACAATAAAATACAATGCATTGATAGCATTATTATTGACCCTGTTATTCTGCGCAATAGACTGAAAGGCGAATTTTGTTTAGAATTTTTGCAGAACACTTTACGCGACTTATTGGAAGGTGTGCCGTTATTGCTCCGAGCTAACATGTGGTTTATGCATGATGGAGCTCCACCACATTTCACTGTCAATGTCCGGCTGTATCTGAACCAAAGATTCCCTCGTCGATGGATCGGTAGAGGGGATAATGTTCTTGTCAACTGGCCTGTTCGTTTACCAGACTTAACACCTTGCGACTATTATCTTTGGGGTGCTTTGAAAACAACAGTGTATGCTTCCACATCTAACACTGAAGAAGAGTTGTAGTAGACAAATCCAAATTGCCATAAATGTTTTAAAAAATTGCCCTCTAAAACTGCAAAGGGTGTCCTTTAACTTTCTTCGCCGAATTAAGCTTTGTTGTTGTTGCGGTGGTCATTTTGAACTGTTTTTATAATAAGTTGTACTAAATCTAATAACATCAACTTTGTTACTCATCTTCAGCATTTTGTATTGTATTTGATTGTTTTTACTAATATTATGTCAATAAAATTAGGCATGCAAATAATTCGTCGTATATGTGTGTGTATGTATCCATATCGAAGTAACATGTGGTATATCTTATCGTAGTAAACACTCATTAAGAATTGGCAAGTACAATGACTTAAAGATCAAACTGAAATTACTGTGAACCTACAAAATCAGTGCCTAATAGCACTGTTAAGTATTGTAATATGGGTGGCAAGATAATGTAGACATTTGAAAAATACTTTTTGTACCCAAACCGTTCATTTAATTAAAATTCTACAAGAGGCTACCAAATCGTATCGCCTATCATTGCCCGAAAGAGGAAAAAGTTATGAACGGATATTATCACCATACATCAATTTTGTAGGAGTTGCAGTATTTAAAAAACATTCTGTCCACACCCCAAAAATAATCAAAATCGAATAATACGTATTCGAGTTATTTACAAAATTCTAAAATTTTCAGGAACTTTGAGGCCATCTAGCGGCCAAACGAAGCGATTTCGGATATTGGTGAATTAGCCTAAATCTGCCTATTTTGAGTCCACGAATCTGTAGTATTCCGTTGTACACGTTATTCTGGGACACCCTGTATAATTCTGACACTACTTTTCAAACAACTAATTTTTATTAGGTTGCTATCGTTATGATAGTCACCGCGCATACACCGTCTTGATTCAAACACGGTTCGAACGATTTCAAATATATTATGTAAATCAAATTGTTGTATATAACACAATTGTCTTATTTTATTGCAATATTCTTTACATCTCGAACGGAAATTACTTCCTGTCTTTACCGCAAAAGTACCATTTCGCGTTCTAGATACAAAAATAACTTATGTCTAGTTTTATTTTGTTAAAAATGAATCGTTATCACACCCATGCATATACATATCATATATCAACCGATATTTCCTTTAAATTATTTTTTAATTTATATTTCAGATAAACTCATATAAAATAATGATACTATAAAAAAACCGACTTGATAACAAATGACCTAACGTCTGTATTTGAACACTAAACACATGATTTAATAATTGCAGTGGACAAAATACATTAGCTCTAGCAAACTTTGTGATTGCAGTATGATGCGCTTCTTTTTTTAACTCATTTTTATTTTATTAACTTGTTTATTTTTTAAATATTTGATACAGCCTTGACGGGATTGAGGAACGTTATGAAAATTTACGTACTGAAAAAATATAAAAAATTTATCACTGAATTATTTATAATTTGTTCAGAGAAATCTCAAGTATTTTTTTCTAGCGTCGTATTCAATTATAATGAAACATCCTTAATATAAGGATAATTGATTTTACTGTTTACTTTCACCTTTTCATTCTCAATTTTATTACCTTCCGGATGTCCAGTTTTATACATAGAGAGAGTATTACGTCTTGCTTACTTTTACCAGTTACGTATAAACTTTTTTTTTATTTCAGGACGACGACAAGGCTGTAGATCTGAAATTAAGCGGCAGTTTGAATAGACAGGTACCGTAGCAACTACATATATTGTAAAATGGGGTTGTAGGGTAATTTTGGCATATTCGGAGTACGAGTAAAATATTCAATATTATATTTAAAACATCTTATAAACATTCTCTTGGATATGCCAAAATAGTAGTGGGCGGTAAGAATTAGATTTGTGTTTTTTTTTATCTTATTTTACTTGGTGGTAGTTTAGATACTTTTCTTCAATAGTTGTTACCACTTATTCTGTGATTTATTTACAATTATTTGCTGTTTACATAAGTATAAGCTTAATAAACTCTATTAGTTACCGTGGATTATATGGGTGACAGTTTATTAACAGTACTATCATATAGAAGTTTCCATAGATAACGCTCACGTTTGATGTTAACATCAATTATAATCAGACACATTATATTTTAGTCGTTTTTATAAGGGTCGTCAGTCATTACATAATAAAAAATTAATTGTAGCTGTAATTTTTTAATGGAAATGATAGTAGATAAAAAATATACATGTCTCGATTAAATTAGATAGAAATACAAAATACTGTTTTTTAAAACAATTAGAACCCTCGAGTTGGAAAATTAAATATTGGTAACGATAACATTCCATATGCCCATAACCACTTTGATATGAAAATATGTTTGTTAAATTCTCAGAAACAGCCACAATGTTTACAACATATAGCGAGATATTTAGAGACTAAGTGCAACTAATTATTTATGAAGCTGTTGCTATGTTTCTAATTTAAAAAAGTACTTGGATATTATGCAGAATTAAGACTGAACTAGAGATAGATATTTAGAAACATATTGGAGGTTTAGATAATATTTTACTAGGTATTTAGTTTCATATATGTAGCTCGCTAATATAATAATTAATATTATAGGTTATAGCTATAAGTATAAGCACAGAATATGTAAACCAGCAGTTTCATTCCGTTGCGCTGATCAGGGTCGTAATAATATTTTTTTATTCGTCTAGGCAAGCGTATTAAAATAGATGAAAAAACCGCGGAGTGCTATTAAATTAGAGGGTGGAAATTGGAGATAGTGGTGAAAATGCACCCCTTTCAGTTTTTTAATTGTAGCTCGAAAACGAAACAAAATTTCGCTATAGTTCATAGGAAAAGTATTTAGAGAATTGAATAGCTTATTTAAAAAATTTAAAAAGAAAATTTTATGAAAAAAACGTTAATAAACAATTTAAAAAAAGCAAAAAGTTCGATTTTCTGATTTTTTTTTACTTTTTTGCCTCTAGTTTTTTTTGAGTAAAGATAAGTATAGGCATTGCTTTATAAAAAGAGAAATAGATAAAATTTCCTTCAAAACAAGAGGATTTAAAGTATTTTTGGATGAAAATTGACTGATATATGGCAGCTCAAACTTAGCCAATTTTTTGATTTTTAATTCTCATTTTTTGCAAAAAGGGAAATAAATAAGACGTTCAAGGATTTTTCATCACATGACTTGTTCGAAGAGTCATTAAAAATGAAAAAACCCCGGAGTGCTTTTAAATCAGAGGGTTTAAATTGAAGTTAGGGGTGAAAAGGCACTTTAGCAGTTTTTTAAATATACCACGAAAACGAAGCAAAATTTCGGTATAGTTCATAGAAAAATTTTGTAGAGAATTGAATTTCTCATCGAAATGGCTTACATTTAAAAAATTTAAAAGGAAAATTTTATGCAAAAAATCGTTAATAAACAATTTTAAAGAAAGCAAAAAATAAGATTTTTTGATTTTTTTTTTTTTACTTTTTTAATAAAATAATTTAGTAAAAACTTGAGATTTTAAGTACAATAAAGTTTATTAATAATGTATATACAGTGTGTCCACGGATGGAGTTGACAAGAGGAGAAACTCTTTTGAATTTGACTTTATCGAAAAATGTCACTCTTTATAAAAAGTTCTGCCCCTCGAAAAAATTAAACTGTCATACAAACATCTTAGATTAGATATACAGGGTGCTCATAAATTAAAAAAAAAACAGGAAAATACTCAACAGAGAAGTACCATTATTTATTATTTTACACAACATTTTTATAAAACAAATCTGTTTATAACCTCAAATAATGTCCTAATACAAATTTTAAAATGTAAATTTCAATTCTGACTTTTACTCTATATGTATAGCTGCTGTTTAAAATGTCTCTAACGATATTACTAAAGTGAGGGGGTGCTCCATCATGCATAAACCAATGTTCCAGTCTGAGTTGTAGTGGCACCTCGTCAAGTAGATCCGGGAGAGTGTTTTGGAGAAATTCTAAATAAGTTTCGCCATTTAGTCGATTCGGTAAAATAACTGGACCAATTAAATACCGATCAATAACACCGATGCAAACATTTATTTTAATCTAGCGTTGGGAATGTTGAGAAGTTACTGAATGAGGATTTACATCGGAATACTCATGATAGTTATGTAAAATTGTAATATCTACGACTACAAGCTTCATCAGTATTTTCTTTGGAAAATTAATGGCTTGATGTAAAATAAACAGACAGAAATTCATTCGTTTAACTAAATCATTCGGTAACAATTCCTGTAATTTTTGGATATCACATGGGTATAGTAGATTACGTCTGATCACTCGGTGCACAGAAGTTTACGATACACCACTTTGACGAGATAGAATTCTAGTACTAATATGTGGGTCGCCTTCAATTGTATTCAAAATAAGTTCTTCGTCTTGTGCCCTGATTGCAATAGCACGTGCTCGAGTGTTACTGAAAAACTAGCCTGTTTCTCGAGCTCGTCTTTCAACATTGGAAAATGTTTCTATGTGGAATTACCCGATTTGGAAATCTTCTCCGATATTCTTCTGTAGTTTCCTTCACAGAAAGCTAACACTAATTAACACTCACGCCGTGTATCAAATTTGGTTTTTCTAAGGTCAAGCGTAACTGAGATATTGATTTTTTTCGAAATTCGAAACCTCACTTTTAAGACCTATAACTTATCAGGGGTTCAGCTTAGTATAAAGGTAAGTTGCGTTAAATCACAATATTTTCTTATGCGAAACACCCTGTATAATTTAAAAATACTAAATTTATTAATTTTAAGGATCGATTATAGTTTTGTTATTAAAACTCGGGGTTTTCGTCGACGTGTTCGTCGTAAACAAATAAATAAACAGGCAAGTATAAATAAAAATAAATAAATGTGCCTATTTCATCAGCGAAAGGTCGTTTTTTACCACTTTGTGCGTTCGGCATTATTAGAATACATATTAAAACACGTATACGCGCAGCCAATAACTGCAGTTGTTACCGGTTTCGTACGGTGCGCTGTAGCGTTACTTCGCGATCTTTTTCTAATCACCTTCAGAGTAACATATAGATAATGTGTTACTTGTATGATGCGTCTGCGTTAACTAGATTCTCAAATAACGTGTTTTAAATCACTTTAATGACTGGTATAATTATATTTTACAGCAAAATGTTAAAATGTATGTATTAATATTAACAAAGGCCTTGAAAATTGATTTTGTATGAAGCTTCTTAAAATTGCCTGTCATTGAGGCTCGGAATTGTATTTTATATTTGTAATACACAAGCTTTTATTATTTTACATGTTATCTTCTACATGCTATTTACTAAATTATAAAAAAGATAATAGTGGGTACATATTTTTTACAGACTAAAGGATAAATATATAATATAATCCCAACATAAACGGAAATGCTTCGGAATATCGGTAAAATATTTTTATTATCATATGTACCAAATTTTTTTAATATAGATGTAAATTACTACTACGAGTATAAGGAATATTTGTTCATCTAAAAGCTGTATTTCGTCTCATTTTATCATTTTCACTCGTTCTGAATTTGCTGGTTTACATATGCTCTGGTATAAGTGAGTCCATAATATCTTAGATCTTGAGTTTTCTTTAAAGAATAGGATTAGGTTCCACTTTTTGATTAAATTCTCTAATACTATTTCCTGGTTGATATTCGTGATATAATCGTTTTAAAATATAACTCTTATGATAATAAAAAGTAATACAGTAATACCCATGCGAAGTGTAATTAATCGTATATTGTGCTACTACTTTTATTTAATCTTGATGTGAAAACATGAAAAAATCTTTCTTAATAAATGAGCCTATCTGATTTTGATAAGATTAAATGATATCTTTCTTGCATTAACGCAGTAGTGTATGGTGAAAACGATTAGAATATCATTTTTCGCTACTTAATTTTACATGTTATGTATATTCCTACGTTTTTATTCAGCCAAGAACTTTTATTCAGCATGGTCGATTTCGCAGGAGTGAGTATTTGAAATGCTTATATATTATGTATTATAAATGGAACATATTTGTCCAAAGAGTGTGAACAATCTCTCAAATGATTTCATAGATTATTGAAACGAACAGTATGAATAACTTGTAACCTATGAACAGTTTTAGAAGTGTATAAGGTTGGCCTTAATAATTAATTAATGTATGAAATAAATTCTACACTTGATTTGCTTTCACTTTAGAAAATTCTTATCTAGTCTGGATGTTAAATGTCAGAAGCTTTACCAAACACAGTTGACATGTATTTCCGTTTGCATAATAATTATAAATAGGATGGAACAAAGAATAAACAAACACATTCACTATTTATTTAGACAGCAACTGGTAACTGTGTGTTTTTGTGGTTGCATAAACATCGCTACGAACAATTCAAAATTAAATGAATTGGTTATCATTTTCGATAAGTATCTATGATGCGATTAAAGTTGTTTTATTAGGGATATATTTTTATAAAATATTTAGCCTAAACAGAAAATTACATATTAATGTTGAGGTTATGGTTTACTTTTAAATTATATGTACAGTTGTGGACAAAAAGAGGTTTTCAATCTAAAACGTCTAAAGGGGTCTAAAAAGACAGTGTAAATGTTAGGTTGGGAACTCTTATTATTTACAGCTGTATCTATAAGTTCATTAGCAATGACTATAAGAATGTTTTCTGGCAAATTCACATATTTTTCAGTATTAAAATATTTTTACTATAAACAAATTTTTT